GCGGTGCCGGCGGGCGCGGTTGCTGTGCATGCTGGCGCTGACGTTCGTGTTCTTCGTGATGGAGGTGGTGGTGAGCCGGCTGACGGCGTCGCTGGCCATGCTGTCCGATTCCTTCCACATGCTGTCGGACGTGATGGCGCTGGTGGTGGCGCTGGTGGCCGTGCGCTTCGCGCAGCGCACCCGCGCCACCAAGAAGAACACGTTCGGCTGGGTGCGCGCCGAGGTGATGGGAGCACTGGTCAACGCCGTCTTCCTCACGGCGCTCTGCTTCACCATCCTGCTTGAGGCCATCGAGCGCTTCACCGAGCCACACGAGATCCAGCAGCCGCTCGTCGTGCTGGTGGCCGGTGTGGCGGGGCTGATCATCAACCTGCTGGGGCTCTGCCTCTTCCACCAGCATGGTCACGGACACAGTCACGGCCACGGCCATGCGCACGGCTCTGCCCCACCACCGCCCCGTGCCAAGCTGCAGCGCTGCCCCGGCGAGGGTGATGCTGCCCTGCACAAGGAAGAGACCAACATGCTGGTGGATAACTACAGTGGCCCCAATGGGCTCAGCCAGGAGCAGCTGGGTGAGTCCCAACAGAGCTGGGGGCTACATCCCCCTTGGGGGGCAGGGGAGAAGCCCTCTCCCATCCCCTCCCTGCCCTTGCTGCCAGGGGTAGGGGCTGGGTTAATGCACAGGCAAGCCAGGCACATGCCTAGGCCACTAAGTGAAGAAGTGGCCTGGTTGTGGGTGTCTTACACATTATGATTGTTGAGTGACAGCCAAGTTGGGGTGCACAAGTTGGTTTGCTGAAGGCCTGCTAAAGGGTTCACATGGCCCTGGGAAGGGGACCAATGATGTCCTGGAGCATCCCAGCACTTCTGGAGCTCGCCAGGATGCTGGTGGAAATGGGGTAAAAGACCCCTGGTGGGTGCTGGTAAATGTGCTGTTTGCCTAGTGGGATGTAGGAAGAGCATACACCAACTCCAGATCCTTCTTCAGCCTGATGAAGGGTGTTTGTACCCGAAAGATTGCTAAGAAGAATTTTTTCCAACTATTTGAGTTGGTCTAATAAAAGATATCGGATTTACCCAAAGAACCTTGTCGCCCTTTGCCTAGTAGTTTTTCTTTGTGTGACTTCACTTAGCCGTTTTTTTTTTTTGTTTTTTTTTCCAAGGGTTGTTTCTCCCCCTTCTCCCCCTCCCCCCCTATGAGTTTCAAAGAACTTTGTAAAGGTAAAGAGAAACAGGTGGTTTCTCCATTTTGTAGCTGGAGGCACTGAGGATTTCATGATGCATTTGTAAGTCTTGGGGGGGGGTCCCTTGGAGCAAGAGGCAGCAGTCTGCCACCTTACACATCCCAAACTGCTGCCCTGGTGTGCTGTGACCTGGCTCCAGGCTGGGCAGCATATAGCCCAGCGCCTCTGTCCTGATACTTGGGGCTCTCCTGGGGATTGGGATTGACTACTTACTTGAGAAATTGCCACTTCCCTCATGTTCACGGTGGGCAG